AGTTTTGACGGTCTTTGTGAGCTCATTGTCTTGGAACAATTTAAAAACATTCTCCCTCAGCGTGTGGCCACATATGTGAATGAACAGAAACCTCCCACCGCGTTTAGAGCTGCTGAATTAGCGGACGATTTTGTGTGACACATAAGGGCAGTTTTGCGGAGAAATATTCTAGGGGTGATTGGAAACGTGGAGAAGACAATGGAAAGTTTTCACCAGGCTCCTCCCGTAGATTTGCAGGTACAGGGCGACCCGAGGGGGCCAAAGTGGACCAATGTCACTATTGCAAAGGTGGGGGTCATTGGAAGGAGCAGTGTCCATTGCTGGAAACGAAGGAGAAGCCTCGTTTGTCACCACATGCTCCAGCCATGTGTTGTTCTGCCGTGTTGGTTAAAAAGCCACAGGGTGTAGGATCGGGCATGGTGCCTGATAAGAAGCTGGTTTGTGCCGACTTGGATGTGGGTTCTGTTTTTGGGCCGTTCATAACGGAAGCCGTTGTGTCAATAGTTGGTAGTGACAAGTATGTTCCGATTAAGGTGTTGCGTGACACAGCAGCTAGATACTCATTTATTGTTGAGTCAGTGTTGCCTTTTTCATCAGAGACAGAGACTGGGGATTTTGTGCTGATGAGGGGAATGGAGATGGGCTTGATTCCTGTGCGACGTCATACAGTAGTGCTGGATTGTGAGCTGGTATGGGGAGTTGTGTCTATCGGCGTGCGTCCCGCATTGCCACTTGATGGGGTACAGATGATTTTGGGCAACGATCTTGCTGGTTGTGTGGTGTGGGCAGGTGTGCCACCGCCTGTGGTGGTTTCCAGACCGTTGGCATCTGTAGAGCCAGATAAGAGTGGTTTGCAATTTCCAAGTGTGTCTCCTTTTTATACTATTACGCGTGTGCAGAGCCGTAGGATGTCTACTGACCTACCTGTTTCGGAGTCTGGAAAAAGTGGCCCAACACGGTCCTTTGACTTTCAGATCGAGACAAAGGTGAAGGAGAAGAAAGAGAGGAAACGCCGCAAAGCGAAGAAGAGGAGGCCGAAGGAGGTCAGCGCGCCCAAGAGGCCGATGAGCGCCTACATGCTGTGGCTCAACGCCAGCCAACCCAAGGAGGAGTGGGACATAAAGGCAGTGGAATCGAAGAAGCAGTACGAAATCGCAAGGCAAGAGCTCGAAGACAGAGGCGGAGGAGGAGCGTCCTCCAGTCCTAAGATGGAAAGTAAAAAGCTGGAGTTAAGAAGAAGGATGTTGGGTTGTCGTGGACCCCTTTGGGGCCCCGTCTTAAGGGGGGGGCTGTGATGCCCCTGTGGGTGCATCAGTAGATAGGGTGTGGCTGTTCTGTCTGTGCTGCATTGGCTCCAGTGATTGCACCGATTGCAGTAACTCAGGGCACCTGGGTCTGGTGCTCTGCAGCTATTTTAAAGCCTCTCTGCTCCTGTCTGGTCTCTCGCTCTGTTTTCCTGCAGGCACCCGGCTCTGATGAGTATAACCAATGTGTTGAATTGACCAGTGTTGTGCAAATAAACACCTTTACCTACCCGTTGACATGTTATGTCTCCTTTTTGTTGTGGCCTTTCAAGCCAGTTCGCAACAGGTACGTACCTCGGTTTTTTTGGTCACGGTTCGGTTCGGTACGTTTTCGGTACAGCAGAATTTTTTTTCACAAAACATATATATATATATTTTTTATTATTATTAAACTGTGAATAATGTATTCACTCAAATAAATACAAAATATAATAAAATAAACATTAAGGTGCAGCATTTCGATGAACTTGAAATAATCTGTATTTGAACTTTACTGTAGGCTATTAGTACTCACAAAACATAAACTATTAGTTTTGGGTTTTTAATTATTATTAAACTGTGAATATTCACTCAAATAAATACAAAATATAATAAAGTAAACATTAAGGTGCAGCTTTTCGATGAACTGAAATAATCTGTATTTGAACTGTACTAGTACCTAAGCAGCCAGCTTGACATTAGGACTTGCTTGTCATTGTATTTTCATGTTTTTTTAAAGAAAGATGAACTTGTCCACATTGCTTGCCGAAAGGGCAGATCTGCTGGCACTAACAATGTCTCCTGCTGTGGAGAACACCCTCTCTCTAGGGACAGAGGTAGCAGATACAGCCAGGTAGCGCTTTGCTAACATGGCAACATAAGGATATTTGGCGTTTGTAATAGCTTTGGCTCGGTCTGAACTCTTTGCGAGTGGTGGAGGCTTAAATGCTATTGGGAGTTGGGTTTGCACTTCAGTCTTTTTTCTTTTGGTACCGGTGATATTCACGTTCGGGTGATGCCTTTTCAAGAGTGTGCAAGTTTGATGTATTGCCAGCCGCGTAACCAATTTTAGTTGAACAATGCCGACAAACAGCTTTGGTCCGGTCCACCTGTCTTTGTCCGTCATCCTTGTACGTAACTGCGAAACCAAAATGTTCCCAAACCGGAGACTTCAATGATGCTGGAGGATTTTCGAGCTCAACTTTATCTGCGTTCGCCATTAATTTTCGACAGTTCCTCAAATTACTGACTACATTTGAACGCATCCCTCTGACCAGTATAGTATGCCTCTCATCCAATGAAATGACTTGCTCGCTCTATGACGCGTTGAACCCAATGTGAGCAAATTACTCTGAAGATTACTTCCAAAAAGTTGTTCACGTTCTCAATTGTTTACGTTTAACGTTATATTCGTTCGGTACACTTCGGTACACACCTGTACCGAACCGAAGGGCCCGTACCGAATAATTTCGGTACGGGTACGTGTACCGACTACACCCCTAGTTTGTAGTGAACAATCTTAATTTCTGACTCACATTAACGCTTGTGGCTGGGATGCTCTGAAGTGTGTGCGTGGACTATGGAGGCTATTTTTAGATGTAATCTGAACTTTGTTACGGTTTAATTAATTATACCTTTACTGTGGTGGTGTTCAAGTTTATAGGCGTCAATAAATGTGACTCAGCCTGAGAGGGGATGTAGGGTAAGGGACAGAAACATCAGACAGGATTAAAAAGTCTAATAGTTTGTTGGTTCACATTATCTCAATATCTTTTAGGAAGGATTGCACCTGCAGGTTTTTAAATTGTCTCTTATTTTTTAGCTCCAAACTTTACTTTTGACAGTTTTGTTGTGTTAGTGGAGATTGATAGCGTTGAAAACAAGCTATAGAAATACATTATCTTTGATTTAAAGTTGTTGCTGCGTTTAATTATTGAGTTGTGCTTTGTGTGTGTATGTGTGTGTGTGTGTGTGTGTGTGTTCTCTCATATTCTGCCTGTTTTGTGATGTGCTTCTTTCTCAAAAGGTGTAGCAAGTGACAGGTGTGTCAATCCAGTCCATCCTGTTAGTCAAGATGTATTGCTCTTAAATAATTAATCTACATTTACGGCTGTTGGACAATGCGACACATTTGAATTTGGTTTAAGACAATGCATTTATCCAGTTCTCAGTGATGGGTTTGGAGGATGTGATCCTTCTTCACGATGCAGTGAAGAGCGCCATTACATCATGTTTACAGCTCATAACATAATCCCGTTGGATGCCATAGGCTCAATGCTGTTAGAAACTTCTGCTAAGGTTTTTCCTCTCATGGCGCAAGAAGTACTTAAAGGTGTGATTTTGCAACGAATTATGATATGAGGTATTATTCAAACAGATATACAGGTGTGGCTTTTTGTCATGATTTAAATGAGACTGAACTGAAATTATGCCATTTTGTCATTGTGCTAAAAATGAATATAAATATTATATATTAAAATATATTTGCTAACCAATATATCGTGTGAAGTTGCTTTCTTTCAAAGACGTTTCAAACGTTCAAATATTTTAATCATATTTGTTCATGTTTTAGGTTAAAATGTACATATAACATGGTTCCAGCTCCTCAAATTAATGAATTATATTTAATAATTATATCCATAAATACCCTGTCAAAAAGTTGTCGGACAAAACAAGCGTTGTAAAGATGTCACGTTGGACCCTAATTAATTGTGATGGGCTCTTCTCACATCACACAGATTAATCTTTACAAAACATAGTTAAACATTAGCCCCATTTTGCAAAAACAAATATTTAATCCTGCTCTGGTGAAATCTTGACAGTTTAAAGGTCCCATGACATGGCCATTTCTACTGATCATAATTCCATTGTTGAGGTCTACTAGAATAGATTTAGATTGTGCAATTTTCCAAACTCACATTGGTTTCTCATACAGCATCTCTGTATAGTATGTGTATTCACTCTCTGTCCTAAACGCCTTGTTGGAGCTCCTGCCCCCTCCCTATGCTCTGCACTGTGCTCTGATTGGTCATCTCGCCGGACATCAGTGATTAGGGATGTCCTGATCACCTTTTTTTGCTCCCGATCCGATTCCGATCATTTGATTTTGACAATCTGCCGATACCGATTTTTCCCGATCTTTATGCAATGCATTAAGAGGAAAAAAAGGAAAAAAGCATTCAAGTTGTCCCTTAAGGTTATTTTTTTATTGAAATGACAGTACCCAACTATCCATTCTATCCTCTATCGCAATTTTGGACATCGAATTTTATACACCGACATTTTTGAAGTCGAATTTTATACAATTGTGCATTCGAATTTTTTTCACTTGAATTTTTGGGATCTGAATTTGAACATTCAAATTTTTTTTACTTGAATTTTTACATTTTTATTTCACATAGGCCTAGGTAAATTCGGATACATGATTTTCAAAGTAATTATTTTCAATGCTATAAATTCGGTGTCTAATACAATTCAAATACTTCTGTCTCTTGTTTGCTTCCATAGAACGGGTAACCGGAAAAGCATGACATGGGCCCTTTAAAATCCAGGAATGATCTGTAAGTGAACGGATGCATTGTTAGGATTCCTTTGTGGAGAAGAGGAAATCTAAGCTCAGCTGCTATCTACACAAATACACACACACACACACACACACACACACACACACACACACACACACACACACACACACACACACACACACACACACACACACACACACACACACACTGTGGGTGTGTCATGTTGTTACCTTAACTTCCATTACATAAGACTAAAGTATAGTTACCGGTGGCACGGTATGTTCACACTTCAGAGACATCTGGATCGTATGGGGAAAGGTAAGACAACTATTTTATATTGAGTAACCTATATTTAACATTTACTATTTAATTTATGTATGCATGTATTCATTTACTTCATCATTTGGAGCATCTTGGCACACAAGTTTTAAATGCTGCTCAATATATATATATGTATGTGTTTACCGAGCCCCGGTATTAAACGGTCCCCGGGATGAATTATTAAAGACAGAGGTACGAGGCGTTAAGCTCCGACGTTATCTGTGTTTTTATTGGTACTGGAGACATTTAAAACATATATGTCATGTGTATTATTGCTACATAAACATTATATCGCCAGGCGAGAGATCTCCCCCGTCTGTGTGCGAGGGGGCAGTTTACACACACACACGCGCACACACGCTCACACGGCGGAGATGGCAGAGAGAACTAAGCGCTCCAAGGTGTGGTTGAACTATATACATAAAGTAACTCATTACTTTACTCGTTTCTTTACATTACTTTTGCGTTACTCAGCAACAGCCTATAGCCCAAACTTAAAACTTAGGCCTACATGTGCATGTGCACACATATAACAATTACTATTGCAATAAGGAAGACGTAACACAAGTTAATAACGGTGAACATTCTAGTTTTTGCTGCTTGTTCGGAGTCGGCACACACTCAACATCATCGCTCTGAGTTCGGGGGTCTTTAGCTATACTATGAGGTTTGATGTTGTTGTGTTTGCAGCAGGGCACCTTACCGTCACATTCCTGTCCTTCTGACCAATTTAAAATAATGGGCATACCTCCACCCCTCGAAAGTTGTAGCTGTCTCTGTCTCAGTCTGCAGCTCAACCCCTGTGACAGCTGCATGTGGAAAAGTCGCGCAAATGTTACGAAAATATAAATCTGCGGCGGAAATCCCTGTAGTGACTTGAAATATTTAAAATGTTAAACGTTAGACATATCACATTTGCCAATCTTATCTACACCTGGAACTAGCTAAACTAGTTATACATGTTTATTACTTAATGTACTGTCGTGTCGGGTCACACATTCACTGGATCAGCGAGCTGCATAAGACACAGACGGGAGGGGGAGAGAGGGAGAGGAAAAGAGAGGCTCCGATTATTAAACCCGCCATGTTATTATCCAAAGTTAATGTAACCTTCTGAATAATGTAGTAACTACTAGTTACTGACTAGCCTGTCAAAGGGAGAATCTAGTAATTTTTTCGCGCAATGTTAGTAACTATAGTGTGATTACTGAATTTATAACAGTAACGCGTTATATTCCTCCGTTACCGACAAATGTAATATTATTACAGTAACGCATTACTTTGTTCTTACGTTACACCCAACTCTGACCATCACTATATGTGTGTGTATGTATTTATAGTTTTAAATATATGTATATATGTATATATATACATATGTATATTTATAAAAAAGATGAAGGTGATTTACAATCTGTGTGTATCATTGCTGCAGGAAACTAAGAGTCCAAGATGGCGAATGGACCGTCCCTGTCCACTGTCACACGCTCCCTCTCACTGTTGGACGTTCTCCATGCAAATCAGTTTAAAGGAAAGTCTTTCAATCCAGAAATACTTGAGGAGACGGAGGAAAACTTTTACAGAGGGGCCCCACCCGAATGGTTAAACTTTCACATCAGTGAACAGGCAGAGTTAGATGGCACCGGATCTCCTTTCATTAAACGAGATGGATACATTAAACTTGAAAATCAAATTCACAAGTTGAGAAAACACCCTGGAATATCAACAGTTAAACTGTTCCACCAGCCAGGATGTGGAGGGACAACACTGGCCATGAAGGTCTTGTGGGACTTTAGGAAAACTTTAAGGAGTGCTGTTTTAACAGGCTCAACCTCGGACATCACAAAGGTTGCAGAGGAGGTGGTCCACCTTTTCACAGCAGGCAGTCAAGGTGACCAGAAGACCGTGCTGCTGTTGGTGAATGGTGTGCAAGATTTGGAAGATCTACAAGTAAGCATTATGAGGACGATTGCTAATCAGAAGATAGTCACCCGTATGCCTGTGGTGGTTTTACTCAGCTGTATTAGAGAAGATGCAGATTTAAAGAGTAATGATGTCTTCCTTCAAGAAGTGCTTTCTGACTCAGAGAAGAATCATTTTAATGACAAAAAGGCAGAGCTCAACAAGCAGTACGGTGATAAATGCCAACGATTCCATGGCTTTAACATAATGCAAAGCAATTTTTCTGAGGCTTACATCCAGGAGGCGTGCTCTGTATTCAAAACCATCAAAGAAACAGGAATACAAGAGAAAACCCTCCTTGCTGCCTTCCTTTCCCTGCTGAATGCATATGTACCAGACTCTTATCTCCTTGAGTCTCAGTGCCTGGATGTGTTCAAACATGCCAACTACAGCCATAGAGACATATCACTGGAAGACATATCACTGGAAGACATGCTGGACGACTTTAGCCATCTCATTATCACTATCCAACAAGATGGTTCTGAAAAAAGAGTCCGCATGGCCCACCCTCTGATAGCACAGTGTTGTACTGAATTGATGGCTGAAGCAGGTGTGACCAGAAGTGACACAGCGAAACACCTCTTGACATGTTTGTGCAGAGATAAAGTCCCTCGATCTTTGGCTGCTTTTGTGAAATACATGCTAACCAAAAGAAGACTAAAAGAAAAGGGAAGAGAAGAGAACCCAATACATCCTACAGAGATGAAAGAGGAGATAGATTCATTTTCTAGACTGATTCTACATATTCAAACAAAGGAGGACGACTCTCAGTGTGTATCACTTTTAGAGATGGCAACAAATATGTTTGATCAAAATCCGTTTTTTCCACAAGCACTTGCTCGTTTTCATTACACAGTACTAAGAGACTACGATCAGGCAGAAATGTGGGCAAAGGAGGCAAAGCAAAGAGATCTCCAAAACTCATTTGTTGCTGATACACTGGGCCAAGTCCATAAGAACCGTCTGAAGAACCTGAGGCGACCGGCCCAACCAGGAGGCATTTTGGCTCTTGCCTTAAAGGCCATTCAAGCATTCGAAGACGAAGAAAGACTTGCCGAAGATGAAGTTGGGACAAAGGTGAAAAGAAATGTCCATGACTCACGCTTCTTTAACAGCAGAGGGATGTTTGGTTTCCTGCAGGTCTGCAATCTTGTGTATGACCTACTTGTCAGTCAGAACCCAACTTGGAGAGGAGTTCTCACGAAGAAGGTGTCTTTGGGCTCGGCCCTGCCATCTCTTGGAGATCGCTCACTTCTAAGATTCAATGATCTCATAAACAGACTCAGAGATGCAGTTGAGAAAAAATGTGCTTTTTTTGACGGATTTCTGACTTACTCCAAGCCTGACATAAAGAAAGACGATCCAGAATACATTCAAGAGAAACCTCGGCTTGCTACAGGAAGTATGTTGGAGACTCCACATCCAGCCATTTGAAAGAAAAAGGCGCTGATCTGATCCAGAAGCTTAAACTCAAACAGGCTGGCACAACTACGGGAGTCCTCTCATGTCTTGACAGAGAATGCACTGAATCGGACCTTAAGGAAATAACTACATTGTGGGAGGAAATCTGTCTTCATAAAGATCCGGACACAGCTATGGTCAACAACATCTTCGCTCACATCATGTTAAGAAATATGGGAGCACCAGAGTCTGATTGCAAACATTTAACTGCCTTCAAACAGGAAATGTACCTCATGGATAAATCTGAGGCCCATATGTTAGCCCTCCTCTTGCACTGGCCTACAGGCAATGAAGACGCATGCATCCTTGACCTCAGTGCAATGATTAAGCGTACGCAAGACCTGTATAAACAAGCATATGCGAAACACTTTCGTACAAGGTACCTTCGCCCTCTGTTTTTCCTCGGAAAAGGTCAAGAACTGAACAGGATAGTTCACAGAACTGTCCTAGAGGGGTCGGCCCTTCAGGCAATGAAAAATTGGAGTGATGAGAAGATTTTCCAAGATCCATGGGTCAAAGAACACCTTCTTAAAGTTCGAGGGGAGATACGAGAGTACAGACTCTTTGCAACTGTTGATGGGAAAGAGATCGAGGTGGTTGCAAACCTCCAAAACAGCCTCTGGAGAAAACGCAAGGTTTCCTTCTACCTTGGATTCACCATCAAAGGTCCTGTAGCCTTTGCCATCCAGACTGAAACTGCAGACACGAAGGGTAAGATACTATAATTCAAGCATAAGTGAACATCTATCTGGCCATTTTAAATATAGTTCAAGGTGTAATTCCCATCATTCGAACATGAAACAAAATGGATGATCATGGTAAACATTTTGATCATTCAGTAACAAATTGACAAAATGCATTGCTTGTATGTACTCTACATCATTATAAATTCATACAAATAACGTCATGGTCACTTAATATTTCATGTGTTCTTTGGTGACAAAGGTCATTGTCATTGTGGTGTTCAACACTAATTAAATCATATTGCATTGTGCTGTGTGGCAGAACTACTCTCAGAGATGGATTCCTCCAAACCTTGTGGGTTGTTGAAGTTTGGAGCTTGTGGCGATGAAATGGTACGTTTTCTTTATTTGTTTATTTATATTAATTTAAATTGCTTTTCCAACAACCATGACTGCTCATAAAACATTTTCCCTTCTGAAAACAGGATGCCAGGAATTTTCCTAAACTTAAACCTGAAGTCAACAGAGTGGATGAGGTTCAAACCTATAGGTAATGATTGCCTCTTCAGTACAGCAACACATTTTTATGCACTGACCCCACATGATGGAAAAGTGTTAATCCCCCGAATCATAAATACACTTTCTTCTTAGTTTCTTTGCTATTAATCAATTGTGGTGTGAGAGAAATCAGCCAAAGACATATTCCTTTCCTCTGTAATATAATGGAACTAGATGGCACTCGACACGGTGCTCAAAGTGACAAAGAAGTACATTTGAAATAACTCAGCAGCAAAGTCTCTTTCTATAAATAATTAGCTGATTACAGTCCCACTACCTTGTTGTAAGCCATCACATTGTACTATATCCAAGAGAAGGTAGGTGTTTCTAAAGCTGATATCTCCAACATTTCGCAAATCCACCCAAAACAAATCTGTATTGATAAATAGAACTACATCGAAGACAACAAATATGTTGTTTTGTTGGAGGTCCCTTTAAGGAAGTACAGCAATGCTTTAAAGGTCACCTATTATGGAAAACCCCCATTTTCATGTCTAAAGAGATTCTCAAAGTTTCAGAAAAAAAGATTCTCTCTCTTTTTGTCCTGATCCATTTCTATAAAAACTTGTCTGAAAATGAGCTGATCAGATGTTGGCCACTTTATGATGTCATAATGATTTTTTTGCTTGTGTCACCATTAGCCAATCACCAACCAAGGTAACCCCCCCACCCCTCCCCTCCCCCACCTTATCACCTGAATCTCATCCTAGAGCACCATTGTGTTCTTTGTAACCAAATATCTTTCAGCAACACGTTCTCACTCCCAACCCGTCACATGTTGACGGTCGGTCAGGGCCCCTCCCCGTCACTCTATTATGGACAGGGTCATATTTAATGCAGCCGAACCGTGTATTACAATGCCGTTATGTGATGTCCTCCAAAGAGAAAAGCAAGCAAACTCGGAATAAAGTATTATTTTATTTTTAAAAAATCTTTTCGGATTTCACATCAACAGGAAGTCCGGTTAATTAAAATGTCCGTGCGGAACAATACCCCAGCCCATAGATCCGTGGGTTAATAATGTCAATCACCACATTACACACATCCCTTCACATTAAAATTGTAATTTACATTAAAGTATTTCGTGAGGCCTTCTAAAATGTTTTTAAATATAATTAGGGTTGTAGTTGAAGAGTTTGTAAATTATTGCGTTGCCTGGCAACGCAATCGCACAACGGCACGTCCATTAATTCCACAACCACACACATGGATTAACATCGATTTAATACATTAATGTAGCCTTTGTTTCTGCTAAAAGAGGTGGCGACTAGCTGGGGCAACAAGAAAATCGGCGAAATCGAGTGTGACTATTACAAAATAAATAATTATTATATTAATATTGACAATAACAACCGACCGTCGAGGAGCGTTCTCATGGCGTCGATTATCAACGCTATGGGAGGTCTATGAAGGTCTATGGGACACCCTGCCTGTTGAACACTGAATCTCAAGGGGTACCCTGTCCGTAATAGAGTGACGGGGAGGGGCCCTGACCGACCGTCAACATGTGACAGGTTGGGAGTGAGAACGTGTTGCTCTCAGAGGGGCGTGGGGAGTGGCTCCTTATTTTCATCTAAAGTAACAGACAGAGAATCAGCACTTTTGAAACAGGGCTGAAACAGAGGAGATTGTGGGATGCTGCAATGATCTGTTTGGTATTTGGAGCCAAACACTTCAGAGACATGTTTTGTATATATCTGAGACCAATAATATATTGATGAAAAATAGTATAATAGGGGACCTTTAAACTAGTAATGGTGCAAATTGGGCTGAAAATCTGTTATATTTTCCCCTCAAAATAGCCTCCAGTCTGATGCAGGCAACTATGAATGCAGTGTGTCTGGCCTGCGCTGGGTGTGTAAGGAAGAAGTCAGTTTCAAATACAAGTTCCTCTCATGGGAGGAACACATGAGGAGTCCTGTTTGTAAGGATTACATGCCAGCAGGACCCCTCATGGACATCACAGTCACAACTGGGCAGATAGAAGAAGTGCATCTGCCACACAGCGTCTGTATCGGTGAGTGTTCATGTCGTGGGAAAGGACTATAATCAGTTTGATTCAGCATATACTTCATCATTATTTTGTACTTTGTAGATCAAACCTCTACATTTTCTGGCCAGTTTGCGGTTCTTCACGTTGTTCCCTGCTGTGATGTTGTGGAAGATGTACCTAAAGTGACATCGTCCCACATCAAGTTTCTCCAGCCAACGTTCCCTCCAAGGGGGGTCATGATCCGAAAGATGGCGGGAATCCCATTTTACTACGACGTGTTGATATACAAGACGAACAAAGAGTTCCTCACATTGGATGTTTATGTGGTGCCGTGCGATTCTGCTCTACGACAGGTTTCTATTTTGTTCAAACAATCAATCAATAAGACCATATATTAACTTCTCCATTACCTAGAGAAATCAGCATTGTAACTGCGCTTCAAAAATGTTGCCTACTTTGAAGACTTTTCTATATCTTTAAAAAATGATGTTTTTCACAGGAAGTGGAAGAAAAGCAAAAGTCTTCTGGATCAATACTAATCCTAAACCCAAGTCCAGACAAGTCCATGCAAATGGGAGAACATGTGTCCCTCACAACAGACCAGGCAGATGCAATCATTCAACCCAGCGTATGTTCCAATCACTTTTTTATTTCACTGTGTAAAAAGGGTTAAACGTGGAGAATGTATCAAGGGAAAAATCCTTAAAATAGAAAATAATGACGGCAATAAAACTTCAACCCCCTTTTTTTCCACAGGCCCGAGAGCTCAGATATGAAAGCATTTTCTTTGAGGTGTTGATCAGAAACGCCGACAGCGACTTCACCCTCAGGCTTCAAAGTGGGAAAGACACTCTCTGGACCTGTACCATTCATAAAGGTCAGAGTTTGTTGCAATTGATTTGCAGCCACATTGTACTCTTCAGCTTAATATGCATAAACCTATGCCATATGTGTTGTGAATGAAATGTAAACAGTAAAAGAACAACCAGCATTGTGACTTATTTTGTTTCAGGAGACTACCAAAATCAAAGCGCTGAGCATTAACAAGGTAAGACGAGAAATACGTTGGATTGATAAGGGATATACGATTACTTCAAACACTATTGCTACCTTGCTCTTCATCACTTTAAGAAGAATTTAACACATAACTGGAAATTCTGCTTACTTTTTTCCCCCTGCGTCACATCAGCATGTTCGTGGATCGCCATCAGGCAGCTCTGAAACACAATGAGCGATAAAAAACCCTTCCTGGATAACCTCAAGGAAAATAAGGCGATCTCTGAGACCTACGATGTGAGGGGGATGAAGGGGGGGGGGGGGGGTCTTGTTTCTGAGCTTCAGGGATCAGAATGAAGTATGGGAAAGTAAAAGAAGGTAGTGTTGCTTATGGACCATTGAAGCATCTGCTGTGATAATCAGTGCCACGGAACAGTTTCATATCATCAGCACTCAGAGGACCAGAGTGACGATATGTAGCTCCTATAACCAAAGTACCTATTTTAGTGATTTATTTGTGGATTTGTGAAACCCTGAAAGTGAAAATCATAATAACACTTATTTTATTTTTTGATATATATTTGATGTAATAATAATTCATTACATTTTTTTATTAGAGCGCTTTTTCAAGGCACTCAAAGCGCTTTACAACTACACATTACATGCATTAGACATGTATATATCTTTCTTTCCATGTTTAATATCTTAGGTGATGTAAACCCAATGTATGTCCAGTTAAAAACACATATATTATAATGTTGAAATACTTTTTTGTATCTATCGCAGTTCTAAAGCTTTTGAGAGTAGATGAATTCATCAAAGAAATGAGAGAAAGAGTCTTTGACTTTTGATGTTGTATTGCAACGTGCTTGACTTAATGTACATAATGGGGCGAAGCCTGCGAGCTAGTTCAGGCAGTCAACTCGAGCACTTATGCTGCATTCATACATAACGCCCCTTGCCACTCTACAACCAACCAAACAGAGTTCTCCTAATACGCCGCTCTATTTAACCTGCCAGATATCTCTCTATGCATTGCTTGCTGCCCCACCACCACCCCAGCTTCCACCTGTAGGCTCGGGGGGGGGGGGGGGGGGGGTGTTAGTTATTTAATCATCACTCATCGTGCTATGTATATCTGTGGAGTGATGAGGCCCGAGCCTAGACGCCAAACTCAACTATATGCTGCTTCTAATAAACATGTTAAAGAAACACGTGAGTTGTCTGACTGAAATGTTAGATTTGTTTGACTAATGAAGAGATTGAAGGTTTTTTTGTTGGTTTGGTTCTTTAGTGCCAAAAAAAGGAAATGTATGTCGTTGAAATGTTACAAAAACTAAGAAGCAAAATTGGAGCCATAAATATGACAATGTCTTGCATTGTAGAAAATAGACTTGGTTTTATTGTCTTCAAATTGTCACAAAAGAAAGTCAAACATGTGTACAGTTCTTTTTTTATGCAAATGATCACCTTAAACAGCAGTGAATAAATACAAACAATTAAACACAGGTAACCAGATCCAACATGTGAGTGACGAACAGCTTAGGAGTCAGGAAAGTAAAACTGGAGAAAGTGAGTCTGGGGTCCGAGTGGCTGATCTTCACCTTGAGACCCTCGAGTTCAGGACTGCCCTTGAACCGAGTTTTGTAATCCACCTCTGTGTGCTGAGAGAAACAGGAAGATGAATCATTAGTGTGAGATAACGGGTGTCCATGACAGATGTTTGTGGTTAAAGTGTGTCTATGTGTCTGACTCAAGTCACTTCATTACATAAAGCAAAAAAGGCCCAGAAACCTTTCTCCTTATTTGACTTATTTATGTTACTTGAGTCGACCCTTACTTGGTT